ATAATATAAATTTTAATATAATTTATATTAATATAATATACATATATACATTGCTATATATATAATATATATTATTACATAATATATATATTAAATATATAATAATATATAATAATTTATATATTATTATATATTTTTATAAAAATAATTATAAATTATAATTAATAATTTAATTTTATAATATATTATATTATATTATATTAATTATATTATTAATTAAAAAAATAATTATATTTAATATAATATATTATTAAATATATATATATATATAAGATAACTAATTAATATTATATATATATATAATACATAAATTAGATAACTGTATGTTTCAAATACCTACCTAAATTAATTGACAATTATTATTTAAATTTGCTACTTATGAATGAACAATTTAAACAAAAATAAAATAAAAAAATAAAAAATATGATTATCATTTTATGTGAAATATTTGAATATGTGTATGTGTATGTATTTGTTAGATAATTTAAATAGTAAGCTAATAATTTAATAATTGATATTATGAGTTTATCTTTTATCCGATAATATTAAACTAACTTTTACAAGGACATGAAGAATACACACTTAATTTTGTCAGAATCGATACTGCTAACTATACACTTTTTTAAAACATTGATTTTATTAATATTTAAAGTGATATTATTTTGTCTTCTTGTTTGTTGCTTTTATCTGAATAATTTCATAGTATTATTATCAAATCCCACAAAGTCATAATTATCGTATTTGCTTAAATGAAAAAGCTGGCGAAATGAAATTGTATACAGCTGAAACATTAAAATTATATTTTAAATAGAATCAAAATTAATTCATATTATTATGAATCTAAATTTTCATAAATCTGTCATAAATAATTAGTTACTTTCATCTGTGCATAAAATATAAGGAATAGTAGAAAATCTACTTTTCAATACTTACTAATAATAAATTAAAAATATGTTATTATAATTTAATCATAAATTATATATGAGATTCTTAATTTGCAATAACATGCATTAATAACACAATTAATATGAAAATGAAAAATGGAATAAATGTATGTCGAAATGATTTCTGTTATTAAATATAAAAATGATGAAAGTATTATATAATTATTATATAAATAATATAAAGGATAGAAAAGCGTTATCACATTATTATAATGCAGTCAAAATGAAAGTTTGATTTTGTTGATATGTCAATTAAATACGTATAATCTTGAAAGAGTTATTATATAGAGAATTTTTGTAAAAAAAAAAAAGATGAAGAGATGGATATTCCTAATATTTTTTGTTGGTAAATGTGTTGAAATATAAATGCGTAATTTGGAACTTAAATAGTGGCATCTATTTATTCACAACCGATACAAAAGAGTTACATGTTTGCACCTGTTACTGTCCTTCAAAGTAGTCACCAGCGTTGTGTAGAACCCGTTGCCAGCGTTAGCAGAGCCTGTTCTGTTGATGGTGCGAATGGAGCGGTTTACTGCCATGTCTCATCCAGTGTTACGATACGGCGTAAGAAAGCCTCTCCTTCGCGCTCATAGCGCTCCAAGTGCGTCTGAGCAGCGTCGTAACGCATCCATTTCTGCATTTCTGTCAATTCATGCGGAACCCATCATGGCATTCGCTTCAGAACTGCTCCAGAGATTCGACAGGCAGTAAACCGCTCCATTTGCATCATCAACACAACAGACTCTGCTAACGGTATACTACGCCTTCCACATGGCTGGCAACGGGTTCTACACAACGCTATAGTGGTGACTACTTTGAAGGACAGTAACAGGTGCAAACATGTAACTCTTTTGTATCGGTTGTGAATAAATAGATGCCACTATTTAAGTTCCAACCTACGTAAATAGGATTATCGTGCTAGTGACAATAAACTAAACAAGGTAAATGTTTGCACAAAGCTAAATATATATATATATATAAGTGAGTGAGCAATATCGTTTCAGAGTTTTAATGTTGCAAATCATCAGAACATAAAGTTGTAATTAATGAATTAATTAAAGTTTGTACGTGAAGTACGATGTATGGTTAACGCAAATGCTGTCATGTCCTTTACCTATTTAGTAGTATTGGTGAGTTTGGATACGACGCGGGTAAGTGCCCGATTTTCGGCTTTCAATCTCTCATTTTCAGCTTTGAGCTTTTGTAATTGCTGTAAACAGTGAAACGATTAGCCCGAATCTGATCGTTTGATAAAAGCCCCAGACCACGCAACCAGTACCACATGATTGATCTATTTTATGAATAATATATCCACTAATTTTTTTTTACCACCGTATGGCACAAAGCACATAATGATGGAAATCACGGAATAATAATAGAATCAAAAACGAAAGAAAAATAAGGAACGGTGAAAAAACGAGAAAAAGAGAAAAAAAACCGTGCCAATAAAAAATACTTTCACACTATACATGTGTGTGTGATAAAAAACCAAGCATAAATCGTAATAAATCAAATAAAATACAAATGAGGTAAAAAAGCACCGACAAAAAGATGGCCAAAATAAAGAAAAAAAAGCAATGCGCTAAAAGCTTATTTAATTTCTTGAATTAACGATAGAGTTGTTGATTGATAAAAATGCAGATATTTTTTTTTTGCTGCACTCAGCAGTAGTGAAAATCATCAAAACAACGGAAAAAATTTCTTTCGTGCAATCTAAGGAGAGTAACACGTAATTACAGGTATATAAATAATGTAGTTTGAGACGAAAAATCATTTTTTTTTTTTCTATAAACTCGGTCATCACTTACAAATATGAAACTAAAATTATAAGTTAGATGTGATTTCCTTAAAATTTTCTCTTTCAATAATACGATAGAAAAAAAACAACGCGAATATTAAAAATTATAAAAGAAAATATTAATTTAACAATAATCATACCTTTAATTCTTCTTCCATTTCTGATAACTTCCTTTCCATGGCCCTCCTTTCCCTTTTTTCAGCTTCAGATAAAACCGACTTGTTCTGAGAATTTTGTGCCTTATCTAATAAATTTCTAACTTCTTTTAATTGTTCATCTGATCGTTTAAGCTTTTCTCTAAGTCTTTCATTTTCCGCTTGAGATTCCTCGTATAATTTTTTATAGTCAATTTCACCATTTTCCGAAGTCGTTGATTTGATTCTTGCAGAAGCTGAAGATATTTCAGATGATATTGATGATACAGAACCTAGTCTATTCGATCTTCCAGGTCTATCATTTCCAGTCTAAAACAAAATACATAAACATTTTACTAATAAAATCTATATAATTGACTTTTAAATTGAGAAATATAAAAATAATTAAATTAGATATTATTTAAAAAGATCAGTTCTATCATTTATTCTAAGTTCTTACAATATATCCTTCAGAACTGGTTAAACTTTGTAGACTTGCACTTCTAGAACCTAAACTAACATTTGATTTCAATTTGTTTTTATTAAAACTCTCAGCTCTTTGCAACGATGAATGATTGTTTGGACTTAGATTCATATAACTATAACTAGAAGACGGAGTGGAAGAAAGATTCAGTGAACTATTCGATGAATGAGTTGGCAAAATAACTCCGCCATATCCTGAAGATGTTCCACCATATGTTGTGAATGAATTTTGATAATTTAAACTGTTTGTAGAATTAGAATATGGATTTTTTCTAAATGATGATCCAGTATTCTTTGTATTTTTATGTAAAAAACTTGGAGTACCATATGAATTTATATTATTAATACCTAACAAGGTTGCATAACTATTTTGATTCAAAGAAAATAATGTAGGAACACTACGCGGTCTATTTCCAAAAATGGAACTTCCATTTGCAGATGCTTGTGCTCTTAAACCTGCAGCTGTTGTAGGCTTCCCTTGCGTTCTTTTTCTATACGTAGACATTTTCGCAATCAAATCTTATACGTATAATCTAAAATTAGCACGATCACAACATCGTATGCAATATATGACACAAATAAATGTTTTTTTTTTTTAAATATTATTACACGAAAACAGTCTACTATTACTGACAGCAAAAGTTTGACTGACGCAAAGAACTGGGTAGTGGAACTCAAGTCATCAGCCAGTTTACTCCACCGTGTTGCTTCTGTGATCTATTTATGGAACACATGCAGATACCCATACTCATGTCAAGGTTGTGTGTTTCTGGTCAACTACACACAGTATTATTTGAGGAGGCTTCGAAAACGTATTATATTGCACAGATATTCTCAGAAATATAATTAGTTACAATTCGTGCTCTAGATTAACAAATGGGATTTTCTATATTGTATCAATATAAATTCAAATAGAAACATTTAATATAATTTTCTACATTTTTCTCTCAAAAATCTTCTCTATTAATAGAATATAATGTATCCATATATTTGTTTGTTGATAAACTTTTAATTACTTTTCTTTTTAAATTGAATAGTAATTATTTAATTTTCTAAAATTGATTTGTTCTATTTTTTATGGTGAGCTTAAATGTCAAAGGTACATCAAGTTTCAAATGTCAATTGTATATTTTTAGAAACACAACCAATGTGCATACTCATACCATTTCCTTTTACAACATCGACTTCAATTTAAGCGTAAACTGTGTGTTTCAATATATATTATTATTTTAAATTGTACTATTTATATATGATATTCTATAAATAAAATACATATATATATATATATATAAACTTTTCAATAAAATTTGAAAATTTGAAAAATTCAAAGAAAAATTTAACTGTGTGTATCACATTTATTCCATTAATGGTTATTTAGTTAAAGAATTATATGATATTATGATATATTATAAGAAGAAATAGTTATATAGATACGAGAAAATCTATTTTTATCCAAGCAAACGTAAATTAGAGTTTAATCTTCGCAGAAGCTAATCTAAAAATAGGACAAAGCTTTTCTACAAGGTAGGACATTATTTACAATACTATACACAGCAAATAAAAAATCAATTATATAAATATATTATACAAATATTTATTTATGTACATACCTCACTGTGATTTACTTTAGTATCCTCATAATCACCACCAACAGATATGTCTTGTTTTTCAGGATCTATTTCCTGTACATAAATATATATACATATAAAAAATCATAAGAACACATTAAAACATAATTATAAAAAAGAAAAATTGACATTATATTATTATGCAGATAAATTGTGATCTTTCTTATAAAATACATACTTGTGTATTCATTTTTATAAAATGAATACTTGTTCACTTTTAAATGTATATTTTATTTTTTTTAAATGTTACTAACATCCATATCAACATGAACGACACCCGTAGAACGTCTTTTAGGCCTCCTTCTCCTTTGTATAACTGCTTGTGTTGCTTGTGCATTTCTGCTATCATTCTCTTTATCTTGTTCTATAATACATATATATATATATATAATATTTATATAATTATATAAAAAAAATGTGTATATATTCATTCTAAAGATAGATTGAAAAAACAAACGAGAATTAATCATATCAATGAGAATGTTAAATAAAGTTTTAGATACAAATGTTGTATTAATGATACTCTGTGAGTAATTCACCTTTGTCCTCTGATGGTTTCAATGATCGTCTAAGTGGTAATGTAACAGTAGTTTCTGCAGGACTTGGTGTGATTGTTTCCACAGGTGCCGATGATGGTCTGGGTATACCAGTTCCACCAGATGGTCTTCTCATATAAGTAGACGTAATGTCAGGTGACCTGTTATTTGCATCCTCTAACTGAAACTGAATAATATATTTAAATTTTCAATATTTACAAACAAGTTAATTCTTGTTTATTTATCAAATATTTATTTAATATAGTGCAAAGTAATGGGTGCAAAATAAAGCAGATCGACATGATGGTAAAACAAGTTTAATTTTCTTGATAAGACTTGATAACATCGTAAGTACAAATTATGCAGATATTAGTTATATTTACATCATTTACATACTTTTATTTATATATACAATTCTATCTACTTGAAAATATAGTTAAAGCCAAAGTTTTTTTTGTATGAAAAGTAAAGATATATGATGTACAATTAAAAACAAAAAAAAAGATACCATCTTACAAAAAAAACAAAATTACTTGCTTCTTTCTCATGCATTTTCTACAAAAAAAAAAAAAAAACATCTCTAAATTAAATTCTTTCTTTCCCATGTATAGCTAGAAATTAAATATGTCAGCAGTAAGAAGCACGCATTATTTTTTTCTTTTTTTCTTTTTTTCTTTTTTTCTTTTCTTTCCTTTCATGTATATTTATAAATATACACACATATAATTTTATATAATTAAACATTTATGCAACATAAACTTAAATAAAAATATATATTGCACATGGGATTTGCTGTTTTACTTTTATAAAGCAATAAAGTAATAAATAAAAATAAATAAATATCAATAATAATAATACAAATTTTATTTTCTTTGTGAGTTATAATTCAACATTTTTTAAATGTTATTCATCATAAATAATACGTGAAAGAACAACATGCTTTTTAATCACACTGACACTGCATGTTTTTTTCTGTTTTTTTTTTCCTTTTTTTTTTTTTTTCTTTAACATAGCACATTAAGATTTGCATTATAAAATTATGAATATAATAAAAAAATAATACAAAGTGAGCAAAAGAACAAAAAATAAAACACAAAACAAAAAGAAAAATATTTCAGGCATGTACGCCCACCACACGTACAACTATAAATATAAATTCAATGCATTCGAGAGTTTAGTTTGGAGAAGATTCAATGCAATGTGTGTTTTGCTACCTAGTCTGTCGATATATAATAAGCAAATATATATATAATACTATCAGTCAGTATCTACTATAAGAACAACCAATTAGTTGTACTTCCAACCAATGATATGAAATATCCACGAACACAAATTTTTGCATTGTGAATTTTGAATTGTATATACTTGAAGATTATGGGTATCACCGACCTTGCTTCCATTATCTACCCTGAGTCTCCAAGAAGGTCGCCTTTCAGGCAAATTAGATTCTTCAGAAGGTTTATTCGCAGTCACTGTAGTAGGAGTTGCTGTTGTTATTGTAGCTGTGATTGATGCTGTATTGCTGACAGAAGCTGCAGGCTGGTCGGTTTAATAAAAAAATATGAATAAACTCATATATGTTGAATTTGGTTATGCAGAAGCTATCGACGCATACATGTAGAGTAGTATGATGTAAAAATGAAGAAATTTATTATCTAAACTGTGTCAGTCAAATTTATTTTCATTCTAAATTTAAAAAAAAAAGGGGGGAACTAGAAAAGCGTCTATATATACGAGGTGTGTCCCAAAAGTATCCGACCTACCTCCATATTTCTCCTCCGAAGTTACTCTTCGTCGTTTGGCTTATGACATCCTTCAAAGTAGTCTCCATTTGATTGAATAACACGCTCCCAACACCCTTTCCACTTTTTGAAAACAGTCCTGGTACTCGTTTTTCGGAATCGTTTTTAAAGCGTTCGTCACATTAGTTTCAATCGTTTGCACATCGTCAAATCGGTGTCCTTTAAAGGACATTTTCAATTTTGGAAACAGCCAAAAGTCGCAGAGAGCTGTGTCGGGACTGTACGGAGGCTGACGAAGCTGTACAACACGATGTTTACTTAAATATTGCTGCACGAGGTTCGATGCATGTGCTGGCGCGTTATCGCAAATCTGCAAATCTTCAGATAAAATCCTCCAAACACTACTTTTCGCTATTCCAAGGTCATTTTCTAGTTCTTGCACAGTCAATCGACGATCTTCATTGATTGCAAGTCGTACACGTTCGATGTTATCGTTTGTTTTTGCTGTCGAAGGTCGCCCAGAGCATGGGTCACTATCAACAGATGTGCGGCCATCTTTGAACCGTTTATACCACTCTTTTATTTGCGTATTGCCTATACACTTGTTTCCAAATGCTGTCTTCATCATTTCGATAGTCTCTGCACAACTCTTTCCCAGTTTAAAGCAAAATTTAATACAAATTCGTTGCTGCAATTGCAGCAAAATGTGACGAACGCTTTAAAGGCGATACGGAAAAACGAGTACCAGGACTGCTTTCAAAAGTGGAAAGGGCGTTGGGAGCGTGTTATTCAATCAAATGGAAACTACTTTGAAGGATGTCATAAGCCAAACGACGAAGAGTAACTTCGGGGGAGAAATATATATATATATATTAGGGTGGGTCAAAAAAATGATTTTTTTTTTTAAGTGCCACAGAAAAATGGGTTGCTAGACACCTTAAAACAATTCTCACCAAATATGAGCTTTTAATTTTAATAGGAAGATCCTTCGCATCGCAGTTTTTTATTTTTTTTTCAGTTCAATAGATTAAAATTCATACCTCATTATTTATTGATTGTACAGAAAAATGTTCTAGACGAATTTTGTAGGAAATTTAATGCTCTACAAAAAAGGTATCTTATACTTTTTCCGTAAACCTCACCATTTGAATGATATTGAAGATTTAAATTTGATGATTTTTAGACAAATTTCATTTTTGTTTATGAAATTTATAACTCGACAATAAATGACTATT